TTATTATTTTTTTTGTTTTTGAAAACATAAATTAAAGTCAAAAAACAATATTTTTAAAACTTTTGTAAATTTATGAATGTAATAACGTAAAGTGATATATAAATATTCAATACCATTTTCAATTCTTAATACTGTAATATTATCATAATTTATTAATTATGAAAATAAATAATTAATCTAAATGTCTAATCGATTTCAAGTGGTAGATATAACATGTTAACGAATGTTAATATTTTGTATTTTGTTTGCTATATAACAGTACCATTTTTAGGACATTTATAAGTAAATTTATGACGTATCAGAAATATTTATATAAAAATATTAAATATATTATATGAAATAATTATTAATGTTATTTTGAAAGATTTAAATCTATTTTATATTAATTCCGCGTTTGCTTATTTAATATCGAAATTTCGTCAAATATCAAATAATGTTCCTAGATTTCTTGTGGTTCCAGTACTATAATAGTAGTTTTCTTCTCAAACACCTATAAAACATTTTTCAAAAAAATAWACATTTAATGATCTTAAATCGTTTTATAAATTAAATTAAATATTGTCACATGAAGTTTTCATTGATAACAAAAATAAAATTTATATTTATTAATATTCAATTTAAAAAAAAAAAAAAAACATTCGAAAATATAAATTTCAAATAATGAAAAAGAAATTTAAAAATTATTTTTTTTATATTTATAGGTATACAAAATAATATGAAAAAAAGGCGAACAATCAGATAATGCTCTTTTATACAGTAGGTGCTTGATAAGTCTCTGATGTAATAGATGTGTAAAATATAAATTAAATTATATTATCCAAACCTTCATTATTTTAAATGAAAAACGATACATAACGAAGACTTTGTGTTAGCCTTTATACTCCTAATAAAGTATGTCTTATGTTATAAATGCATTTGAAAAAGTGAATGAAGGTATATGAAAAAATCTCAAAACTAATCTCTTATTAAGATTTTTGATTCTAAAAGAACCATAATATAATAATATGTTTATTATGAGAACTATCCCTGTGRCAGGCGAAATTACGGATTACAGTACGACGTCGACGGCGGTGGTGGAAAATACTACGAAGTTTAATGTTCTCGCCTATTTACCCAACTTCAAAACATTCAACCAAGATAAACGTTTCCCATTTTTACAMCCTTTTTACAACTCGGGAAAATCTTTTCTCAGTAATAAGTCTCTTAATCGTAAAACGGAACAACAAAAAGCTTCAGCGGTTTTGACTAGACGATGCCCGATGATGAATCACTCTGGTCATGTTATTTTATACTGGTACGTTATAAAGATATATTTAATAACTATGGTTTATAACTGATTCTGTGTGGTAGAGCGTTGTTCTTGGAAAAATTAAATAATGWRRGTTAAACCACTTGTAATAAATTATGCGAGTGTGACTTTCCCAGTCTTAAACTCCGTTAAATGTAAAATACACATATTATTATATCGCATTTAATTTTAACCAATGGGATCATACTGATCCCATTTTTTAT